CTGCCAAATATGTAATTAATATCCTTAACAAGGAATATTGAAGCACTGAGTATCACTGTGAACTCTAGGAAAACTGAAATACATAGTTTACAAAAGTGGAAGGACACACATCCTGATTAGTATTTGTTGAATGCATCAATCCATTAATTACTAACAAAGTTTAGAACAAACTTGTTTACAGTAGTTAGCAGAATATATAAAGCAGCTATCCTTTGCAATGAGAAAAAAGGCTAGCAGCCACACTAACAAGCTAATCAGGTGACACAGACAATTTCTTTCAATGAATCCTCTTTGTTTCAGAGTTTGTTGGACTCTTAGGTCAGCCTTTCTTCCTCAAGGAGCAGGAAATAACAATTTCTCTTAAAGGAATCGAAGGCTGTGAGGCTAGGCACAGAAAGCCTTTAGGAGGAAGATGGGCAGAGTCCTTGACAAGAAGAAACAGACCTTTCTAAGGGATTGGATTTGTTACTAGGCAACAAATAAAATATGATTAGAATGCCCCGAATACAGCTTCCGGCAAGGAAAAAAAAAAAGCCTGCTTAAAAATGTCTTTCAAAAAATCTAACCTTTGGGCTATTTTGGTGCTTAGTTTTCCCTATAATGTTTATCTCTCAATGTGTACACACATGCACATGTGGTTGTGTATTCCACACTATTCCTTTCCAAAACAAGTATAATTTGGCAATTTTGTGTAAAATCTAATACCAATCATTATAAAATACTACTAATGTTAAAAGTTCATCCTCTTTTCATTATACTAAAAAGCACGTGATGGGTAAAATTCCAAGCACTGACAATGCACACTGCTGAGAATGGGAACAGCAGCTCATTCCCAGCTGGGAGGATGCAGAATGGCACAGTGACCACGGAAGGCAGGTAGAAAGGAAGTTGTCTGCAGAAACAAAAGTTCTTTGACCATGCAACCCAACAACTGGACTCCTAGTTATTTAATCAGATGAAATGAAAGCTATGGCCACAGAAACACTGCACACAAAGTTCACAGCAGCTGTATTCATATGACCAAAATGAGAAGCAAACATTGACAGGTAAACAAAACAAAACAAAACAGGCTGTTGTATAACTATGCAATGGAATATTATTTAGTTGTAAATAATATTAGACTGAAGTCTAAAAAGACACAGAGTAACCTTAAATGTATATCGCTAAGTGCAAATACTAATTCTGCAAAGGTTACGAACTGTATGGTTCCATTTACACAACATCCGGGAAGAGGCAAAGCTACAGAGACAATGGGAAAAATCTGCGGTTGTCAAGGACAGGGGAGGAGAAGGAAAGGGTGGGTGTTTCAAATTCTCTGTGACTACAAAAGGAGTGAGCCTCATATAAACGTCAGACTGTAATTAATAAAACTGCATCACTCTTGTTCAGAGCGGTAACCCGTGCACCCACTAGTGCTAGGAGCCACCGCAGAAAAACTGCACAATAGGGCAGTGGAACATGGGCCTTCTCTTGGTCTTCTGCTTAAGTCCTCTTTAAGTTCAAAGCTCTTCTGAAAAGAAAGTTTGTGTGCTTAAGAAAAATCCAGAAGCATGCACAGGTGATACTGGTGCTGGCCCTGGAAGCAGTTTCTCTAATTTGCAGCATATTGATAAAGTAGTTATTAGAAGGAACCTAGCATCCACACAGGTGTCCCTCCTGTACTGTGGAATATGAAGTTCTTTATCTGCCTAGCTATATATCAAAGCATGCCTAGCTACATCAGCAGGCTGCCTACAGGACCTCTCCTATTCTTTTTCCAAATGAAATATTCTGATGCATCATTACATTTCTCATCTTTATGAACTTTCAATATCATTTTAATTTTAAAAAACTTTCACAAATATTTTTCCTGACCTTTATAGTTAGGTAACTCAATGCAGAATTTGTCTTCTTAGTTTCTGAAATAATCACATCTAGTTATCGAATGTATTCCACGGTATGTTTTCAAACTTCAGTGTGTACGAGTCAGCTGGGATCATTCTGAAATTTAATTTCTAACTCTCTCCATCTGAAGCAATGCTTGATAACATGCAGTTCTAAACAGCTTGGAGGCAACGCTGCTGCACAAGCACACATTGAGCAGCCCAGATTCCAGAGCATCTTTGGAACACAGAACTGTCACCTGCATGAAAAACAAGCCTAAATATCTAGCAACCCTTAGGAAGGATGAAAGAGCTGGTTTTCCTGTTTCTCCTGCATGAAGAAGCTTCCAGGATAACAGTGCATGGAAATCTGCTTTCCCCAAATATAATCCTCTCCATCTCATCTATAAAGTGGAAGGGTTGGTAACCTTTGCACAGTGAGTACACTGCCCATTGAGTGCTAATGCTCTCCTGCCTCATGTGTAGAAAGATCTGGTTCATTTCTTGCTCAGGTCCTCGACTTATAACTCTTCAACTGAAGAAAGCTCAAGTGACAGACTCAAGGTCATGTATCCAATACTGTAAAGGTTGGGGCTCAAATCCAAATTTCCTCCAAATCTACCCGTTGACCTCATCTCTCTCTTGCTACTGATAGTGCTGTACTCCGGAGAACAGAGACCAGTGGTTCAGGACCCAGAAGCGGAGCTCTGCATTGAATTTCAGACCCAGACTTGCCACTGTAATCCTTAAGGCTGAAGGCCCTGTGGTTGAATAGGTGAATTAAGATGCAGGAGGTTCTGTGGATCAAAACGAGCCTTGAAATTCAGCAAAGCCCTGTGAACCTATGAGCTTATGCTGATATGAAGTAGGAGTAAGAGCAATCACTTGCACGATCCACCATGGCAAACTACCCCTGGTGGTTCTCTTGAAAGAGTTCCCGGACAACCACATGTGGGAGTCAAGCAGGAGGACATCACCCTGCAATGACTTTGCAGGGAAGCCTCACATACACTGGGTCAAAGGGAAACTTGCCACTTTCAGTGGGACTTCTAACTATTACAGACAACTGAAAGTAAACTGCCCTTCACAGTTGGAAAAAAATGCCCACAAATGTACAAAGGATTTTGTGTCATGATATAGATGTTATTCTTTGGAACTAGGTTTGGGAGTTTCCGATTTCCTGTTTAAGGGAGGCCCAACTTCATACTGACGAGGAGTAATTCGGGTGGGGGCTTGCTGATGTGCAATATTTAACATTTAGGGGCCTACACCTTCCTTCCATATTATCCTTCTATCCCCTCTTGTAACTTTAGCATAGTCTCTTCCACTTGGGAGTTCTGCAATACAGGAAAGATGAAGTTAAACTGAATTCACCTTGGGCACAATGCCTGTCTCCGAGCACTGAAGAACAGCTCATCAAGAAACTTTGCTTCTTTTTTCAAGAGGTGTGCGTGTGTGTGTGTGTGTGTGTGTGTGTGTGTGTGTTGTTTACAAGCAGCTCAGAGATGACTTGTGCAGAGACTGGACTTCCTCCCTCTGGGTGCTGCCTCTGCGCCCTCTTCCCAGGCCTCCACCAGGAAGCAGGGCTGGAGATATTCTCTTCCGAGGGTTACAAACTGGCTTGGCATCTGGGACTTCAGGTCTTCCCAGAGCTGCTCTGAGGTGCTCTGAAGCAAAGGCTGGGCAGAGCTGAAGAACCTACCCTGGGAACTCTGGACCCTGCCTGGAAAAACCAGTCGCTTCTCCTTCGTTTGGTGATCTGAGCTGTTACAGACAATCCCAAGCAGTTGGGGTGCGGAGTGCAAGGAGCACAAGTGCTCAAGGCTTTGTCAGGAACTCCGCATGCTCTCCCTGAACACCTAGGCTGCTCCTAAAGCCTCAGTGCCAGGAGACACTGACACTGACTCCAGCGACAAATCCAGTTCTGCCTGATGCATCCATAATACCGCTGTCTGAAGTTTCACTGTAGTATTTGTCTCACACGTTTCCTCCCGTCTTCCTACCACACACTGTCTCCCTCCCTCTGATCAACCTCAGCACCCAGCGACCCCAGCAAGGACCTTACGAGACCCTGGCCATCATGGTAGCCTTCCAGCCTGCTGGATCCCACACCACGCATCACAGTTTGGGTCTGGAATGTCACCCTAAAACTCTGAGATTGGAGGCTGCTCCCCCATGCAACTGTGTTCAGAGACAGGCTTAGAGGGAGAGGACTGGACCAGGAAGGCTCTACCCCATTAGGAGATGAATGCACTGGTGGATTCACAGCTCACTGGGCTCTTGGGAAGTGGAGCCTAGCTGGAGAAAGTGGATCCTTGGGTCTCCTAGAGAAGTCCCCTGCCCATTTCCCTTTCTCTCTCCCCGCTCCCTAGCCTCCTACCCCAAACCCTTCCACCATGATGTTCTGCCTCCCCACAGGCCAGAGGGACAGGGCCAAGAAACCACCAACTGATGTCCTGAGGCAAAATGAATCATTCCTCCTTTGAGTTGTGCATCTTAGGGATTCTGTCCTGGTGAAGAAAAGCTGAGTGACACTAACACACCACATAGCATCTGGTCTACATGCTCAGCTGGGCTTCTGTGCAAAACCTATCACAACAGGACTTATTTATTTAAATGTGAAGGATAAACAGGAACGGGGATACAAGAGAGAAGTACAGATGACAGGCTTGCTGAGCTTTCAGATATTCACATTCAAATGCCAGCAAGTAAGCAGGAGGAAACTGGCTCCCAGAGAGGAAGTGTGGATAGCATTCTTTTCTGGGGGGTATTATCTCTGAAACTAATCAACAGAACACTTCCCGGGAAGCTTGGAGAATGTAGCTCTAGGAGGAATAGAAAAGAGAGAGACAAATCCAATTTAACATGAAGAGCAATATTTTGCAAATACAGCTGAGTATTACGGAAAAAGGCTAAGTGGTAGATTAGGAGCTCGGCGTACCACTGGGAGGATTGAAACACAGTCTAAAATCCCTCAGCAAATGACACGGTGCATTCAGTGGGAGAGGAGCAGCATTCATCAAATGCCAGGGCTCCTTGCTGCTGAAAGAGTCGCCGATTCCACTGCACACTGGGATGATAACGACACGCGCGCTGCAGACCCATAATCCTAAGAGCACGACGGCAGGGATGACTTACTGTGCTGACAGTGAATCCCATTGAATCCTCGGGGACATTTACACACATAGCCAATGAAGGTGTCCCCTCGGTAAGCTGCGCTGATCTCACAGGTTCCCCCATTATGGCATGGATTCGGGACGCAGGGACCTGAAGGACAGAGGAAAAGCAAGGCTGTGAGACACAAGTGCTTAGCAGTAGATACCAGGTCCACACCTTGTGATCAACAACTGTTTAGAAAAAGCACTGTGGGTATTAAATGGACAAGGAATGTACTGGCTGGACTGGCTCTGAAGACCAAGGGCCTAGGTTTGAATGTTGGTTTCTGTACTTTTTGAGTGGCACGATCATGGGTACTTAATGAATTTACTGATTTAGTTTACCCTGTTGGTAAACAGGAAAAAATGTACTTCAAAGGACCACGTTATAGATGAAAAGATGTGGATCTGTCTTTTATAAATGCATATAAATATGTGCATGACTTTAACAATTATATATTAGCTGCTCTTGCTACAAGATAAATAACAATGTGAAATAATAATTATCTCTCTATATATTCATATATATATATATATATATATATCTCAGAAGATGTATAGAAACTCTCAAAGTAATAGTACTAAATTAATCATTATTATCAAAGGTTTGATATCAAAATCTCTTTTTGATATCGAATATCTCTTGCATATTTAAAAATTAATACTAGTGACAAATTTTTGAGGCCATGAAATGCTGAAATGCTTTATCCCCTCCGGGTGTCAGTTGTCTAGGAATGTGACCAAAGCCGAAACAAAGCAGAGAGCTGGTTGCAGTCATTTCATGGAGTCTTTATGAACTTGAGGTAGCTCCTTCCTCTGAAGAAACACAAGTTTTTGCCAGCCTAAAAGGAAGAGATCATCAAATCTGCATGTTTGGAGGAGGGGCTGTGAGAAAGTAAGTGAACAGGGACTGGGCCTGCACCGTCGAGGGGGCTGTGTGTGCAGATCTCTCCGGGAGCATCCACTGCTGGGGGGCAGGACCTGCCAGCATTCTGGCCCATTCCAGAGCGGGCTCCCCAGGCAGTGACCCAGCCCGCTGACGCTCCTCACTGGTCCAAGCTGACCAGTGGCCTGACTGGAAGCCCCGAATGCACCCTGCACCCTTGTGTGGCTGGGGTTTTCCTAAAAGCCCTAATAGTCTGAGCTTTCTCTATGCAATTGTCTTTCATAATTTTTCTTCCGTCACAAAAGACAATGTTTGTGCTGTAATTCAAACACTTATTCTACCCAAGCTTGGGCCCTCTTCCCTTTTCTCCTGGACGTTCCTCTGATAATTGTTTTCCAGGTCTTATTTTGCACTTCATCCTGCTTCCAGGAGGATGAACCCCCGAATCAGGACAGAACTCAGTCTGGAAATGGCAAACAGGAAAGGGTCCTGTTCAGGAGTGAACAGCTGTCCTCAGGAGTGAAAGACAGGCCAAGCAAAAGGAATACAAATCTGTCTTTTTTTTTACCTGCAAAGACTAGAACACATTCATAAGTGAGAAAAGAGCCCTGAAGAAGTTAAAATGTACATTTTTAGACAAGAAAAATAAAATTAATAAAGCTAAGTGTCTGGCTGTCTTTGCTGAGTAAATCTGAGTTGGGGGGAAGATGAGTTAAGAAGAGCACAGGATTTCTTCTGGGCCAAAGATGAAGGCAGAGGTTTAGACACAAGATTTGAGGCAACCAGGGGAGACTCTTCGAGGTGAGGCGATTCGAGGAGCATGGGGCATGGCTGCCACCTGTGGTCAGAGCAGCACAGCGTGTGGAGAAGAGGGGATTGGCCTGAAGCACCGGCAAAGGAGGAGGGCTCAGCCACAGGCGGGAGGCTCAGGGAGATTTTAGGATTCTGCTCCATTCCCCAGCAGCCAGGAAGGTGAAAGTGCCTCTGCCGGCCCATCTCAGTTTAAACTTGGACAAAACTCAATGTCTCCAGAGTCTAACAAAAGTATAAATGGGACAAGAACCAGCAGGGTGTCTGTACTGACAGGGCTGGCTCTTCAAAGAAAGGAAATCAGGAAGTTGTGCTCTTCACCCCCAGATATCTGCACATGGATTAAAAAGAAACAAAGAGTCTAAAGAGCTAGTGTGACTGACAAGAGTTACGATTATTAAAATTGTATTGCATTAGGAATTTTAAAAAATAAATACATATTAGCTGCTCTTGCTGCAAGAAGAGTAACTGTTGAAACAACAGATAGTCTATCTCATGTGGCAAGCCCTCGAAGTCCACGGCACTAAACAGCCTACTGAAAACCTCTACAATGCACAATCAAATTTATATTTAAATCAGTATTCACAGTTAAGTGGAGCTTTTGTGCCAAGCAGTCCATATCAATTAAATTATCTAGTAATCTAATACCTGCCCATGGAGTGAACTGTTACCAATATTAGATACAGGGGAGAAAGTTTAAGATGAATGACCAGTTTAGGAACCATGTGAATCCCTTTCTTCCATTGCTAAAAGATGAAAATGATGCTACAGAACCCAGAACTCTTTACCATTTTTCTTAAGTCTACTTCTTTTCTCCTAATAAATTAGAAAATATTTGGTAGTGTCTTATAAGTTACAAAGTCATTTTGCAAAAATAATGCCAGTTATTCCCAAGAGCCATTCTGTGAGGTTGTCATTATTTTAATTATTTTTACAGTTTTAAAAGTATTGAAAGAAAATTTAGACAATAGTTTTCCAATTGGTTTCCCAGTGACACATTTACTCCTCCAAGTAAGAATCAATGGTTCTAGAAGGGAAGAATGAAATTAAACCGATCTTAGGTTTTAACTCATCAGTTCATTTCAAAGTCATAAAGGATGACTTAGATATTTTATGAACTGATAACTGATAGCCATACATAGCATTTTTAAAGACAAAATTTAATATGAATTGATTTAAACAATTATGTGCTTTTGAACAACTAAAGAACCCAGAACATCAGCCAATCCAATCTCTCATTTTTGGAAATAAGAAAGCAAACCCTGGTAAGAATTCAGTGATATTTCTAAAAATATCTCTTATTAAGAAAAGTGTGTTTAAGGAATTACACCTAGGGGAAAATTAGTTATTAAAACCAAAAGTGACAAAGCTACTCTTTCCCTCTCAAGGAGCTTAGTAATTTAAATCGGAAAGCCAGGAAACCTTTTCCATGGTCTTTTCCTCTTAGCTCTGAAGTGGACAGAAAAAGCTGGAACAGTGAAAGCTCTGCCAGTCCTTGGGAGGCACTCAAACAGCAATTCCCAGAATGGGGGTTGGTGGGAGTCACCCTGAGGACAGGGGGTAAAAATACCAACCCAGACAAGGTGGCCCAATGACTTGAGCCAAACTGCCTACCACCCGGGGAAAAGTAGACTGGGCTGGCAGGTGAGCGTGGAGAAGTTAAATGGACCCATGTAACAGAGGGATGGGAAAAGGGATGAGGAAGATCAAGAGGATGAGATCTCAAAGGGAAAACTGAAAGTAAAGTCTTCGGGGACAGAGGTCACCAAAACATACTGGGACAGTGTAATATGTGGGGTCAGTAGCCAGTAAGAAATGGTGATGACAGAAATTCAAGCGTATGCTGAATGCGCAGACACCATACGCGTTATCTTCACAGGAGTACTTAGCCCTACACTCGAGACTGTTAACCACACAATCCTTGTGCTGTGTCTGGGGACGTCAGAGGGAATGCTAGTCACCGGGCTCATCCTGGCAGAGGAGAGACTTGCTGAGCCACAGGACACCCGAGAGCCTCAGGATGAGATGCGGGAACCCAAAGATAGCACTGAGGGTGTTGCAGACACACACCCAGGCACTTCCTGTCCAGCAGCCTTGGTACAGTTTCAGAGATCCCCACAGGATGAGTCTACATTAATTTTATTACAACCTGGGCTGGGGTCTGCGTTTCAGGAAAAAATTATCATGACAGAGTGAGGTTGTTATTTCTCTCACTCTGAGAAACCCCTGTCTTTTAAAGGATGAGGACAAAGGAAAGCAAAGGACATGAAGATTTCATCTTCCCAAGTCCCTTATGTGCAGAGCAACAGGAAGTATGCATATTTCACTCAGTCTGCTTTCTAAGATTTCTTCTTTTCCAGGCAAGAAAACAGGCTCAGAAAGATAAAGTGACATATTTAACCATAAATGCCAAGATTTCCCACACTCAGTAGGACTACAGGCTCCACACTCATCAAGGCACCCCCACTCCAAGCTGAATACCTGCGCATTATTACGTGAGATGTGGTAGATTGGAGCAGATCAGCCATGAACTCGCTAAGCAATCCTATGACTCTACACACCTCTCCAATGGAAGCCTATCAGAATACCTGCAGCAGCCGGGTCAGGGTGTACTAGAGACTACGAATCCAGACAGGCCCTGCTATACTAGGAAGGCTCCACTTCATTTCGGTTGATTAAAATCAACAATCAAACATGGCATTTCCCCAGTACCATTTCTCGGAATTACATGTGAGACCGATACAATGCTACACATCTTGACCTTACTCTTTTGTAGCCATCGAGTCTGCTGAAATGAGGAGCTGGTTGTCACTTTCCCCCTGCTAAACCATAAATTCCACTGGGATCAGACCTGGTTTTCATGCAGTAGTAGTATGATATATTTTATTTATTTGTTTGTTTATTTTGGTAACAGGGATTGAACTCAGGCCCTTGTGCTTGCAAGACAGGCAGCGGAACCACTAAGCTAAATCCCTGGCCCAATATATGATATATTTTAAATACACATATGTGTAACAGTACTGAGTAGTCACAGTTATACGGATTGCCTAAACCCTACTCTTATTTTAAATTTGTAAGACAGCAATATTACTTGGCAGTTCATGCAGTAATTAATGCACATACTTTTCTATACCTTTCCTGCTATAAGCCATTTAAATTTATAATTACATTCCATATTTTTGTCCTGATGTGGGTTAAATCAGGGCAAATTTAAACTGAACTATAAATAACAAATTATTTGAATGTGTACTTTGTGTAATGAGTGTTTTTCTTAATTCTTTGGCAAATATGGGATCAAGAAAACATGACTTTGTACAATCTTAGTAAAAGTGTTTCAGTGTCCTAATTTAACAATTCCTGTAAAGAGATATTCACTGTAAGCAAGAACAAAAGCAAATGATCATTAAAGTTAGCAC